TCACGTCCACTCACTGTCTACTGTGCCCCTGAATTATTTTTTTATTGTATCCTATTTTAATAATTATTTTTGGAAAATAAACCTTTTTTGATTTTGATTTTGACGTCATCCTTGCTGTACTCGAATATCAACTGACCATCCACCTTTCCTGGATACAAAAGTGTGCAATTCTCAATAGGCACAGCCCCTGAAGTTGTGAATTGCCACTCAGCTCGAACTATTATTGGTATCACCTGTATGAAGACCTTTTTGGAAAAAGGGAATTTTTAAGACCTAAAATTGAAGCAGAAGATAAGGTTAATTGTTTCTCTAGCATTTGTTTCCTGTTGTGCGAAAATTGAAGATAAAAAGTTCACAATAGACCTTCTCGCTATCTTTCAATAGATTCGCACAATAAAACAATCAAATGATGACCTTAGAAACTTGTTGAAATAGGGGCTAGCCTCCTTCTCGATGTCTCTCTTCACAGAGGGAGGTATGCACAAGGGCACAAAGTCAATGTATGCGGCATTCTCTCGTATATTAGAACCAGAAGACTTCGCAGGGTACCTGCTACATAAGGTTGTGTGGAGGAAATCAAGAGATACGACATTTGGATTGTTGTGCCAGAATTACGTGGATTATGTTCAAAGACACTTCGGAAGCAAAGTGGTTTTTGGTGGGTAGGTATTCTTCAAAGCAGTAGAACGATATCGTCGATCTTTGCTGCATTCATAGTCAAAGTTTGTGTTTTCCAAAGTTAGGGCACAAACCTGCATTTCTATGCCAGTTTTGATAATCTGAGAAATTACTTTACTTGAATTTTTGAACCACTATATCTCAGTAACTATTGGATCCAATTTTTTGGCCAGTGAAATTTAAAGGGAATTTGAAGTTCTTAACTTTTTTGAGAAGTTATAAGCGAAAAACTGGAAAAAAGTCCGATAATTTCAAGATTTTAGTTGCGGTTAACGCAGAAAGGTGCACAGTAGACATATCGTCTATGGCACGTGAAAGAGATGAGGATAAAATATATTTATCCCATGCTAGGTTTGAATTATGTTCGGACAGGAAGAAATTTTTAACAAGTTGAGACTTTTTTTGTATTTTTGAACCACTGTATCTCGGTTACCAAAACTTTTGACCAGTAAAATTTGAAGGAAATTTATTGTTCTTCAACTTTATAACCAGGTGTATTCCGCTAAATATAAGCAAAAAACTGAGTAAGTCTGAAAATTTCGTGGTTTTTCGACCTCCTTTAAGCTACCACAGGTTCCTCGAGGTCTAAAACTAAGATTTTATTCCACAGGCTACCCACAAATGACATACCAAAATATCATTAACTTTGGAATACCTTCCAGCTGCTGGACTATAATCCCAGTATAGTAATTCGAATTGCGGCAACAATTTTCTGAACTAGTACAAAACGAATTGAAGACATTTTGACAGCTATTTAATTGTACTAGAGGGTTGCAAAGGTTCTCCAAAATCTTAACAAACGACAACTTTTTTGGTTTCTATCAATCATCAACAGAATAAACACTAAAAACGGAAAAACGACGAGGTAGATTTTCAAAAAACACTTGTTGCTTTAGTGATTTTTGATGCATTATTATTTACAAAACACTATTTTCCTAAAAATGACAAACACTGGCCTAAGAAGCGATGTAATGTAATATGGATCCATATCTTTGATTTAAAATTTGAAACACCGACATCAAAGAAGCAGAGAAATATGTTAAAAAGGCATCACAGGCTATATTATATCACAGCATCTTATGCTTAAATCTAAAAAAAGAAAGTATATAAAGTATGTAAGTAGTAGGATAATTTATTTATAAGGTAAAAAATTCAAAAATGTAATCTGTCAAAATGTCAAAAATACTTTTGTATGCCAGATGGATAAAAAGTTATTACTAGGAGGAGGAGGTAGAAAATCTGGGATCAACAAATTTTATTATGCTTTAATCAATTTATGTGATTGTCTCAATCGACTTAGTTTGCTCAAATTTGTTAATTTTTTCATGGTCCTTCTACTCAAGCAATTGAAAATTTAGATGCCTTGAAATTCTTGTCCAAAGGTTGTCCATTCAAACAAACACTATGAAAACTACTAGGCCACTTTTCACAATAATTTACAATCATAAAACTTTATTGAGGTAGCTTTAAAGTGGCTGTTATAGGTTTTCGTTGATTTTTCATAAACAATGATGTTTATGAAGTAGAATTTTGTAATTCAACCATTGTTAAGGTAAAAATTATTCGCATTTTGTCTTTGACTTGAGCCCCAAAGAAAAAATCTAGGGGGGGTTGGATCTCAGGGTCTTACAAGCCAATTGTTGTTAAGATTCCAGCAATCAGAAAAATCAATTTCAATGTCAAGCAAACAAAATGAGAAAGTCCGCCATTCGACAACTTGTTTTTCCAATAAGTTATTTGTGCTAAATGTGTATGTTCAAAAACAAATCATTACCTAATGAGTCCTTTTAGAGTTACGTGTCAAGAGAAACATTATTCAAGATGGTGGGATTTAATCCCTCTAAATTTGAATCTTTGGGGCTTTGCCAATGACAAGGACTATGCGAATAGGTAATCCCCAGAAGATTAATGACATAGGTAGGTAGATCGAAACATTCGTCAAGTCAGTATAATGAAATTAAACCGGAATTATGTAAAATTTCATTGATAAATTTGCACAAAACGCAAGCTTTTTGCTAATTTGAATTCAGAATTTTAGATGGATTAAAAACATTATTATTTGATGTATCCTTCATTTCTAATACATATTTAAATTCGTATATTTTTTTTTTACACAAAACTAAACTTACAAAACTAACTACTTGAAATATTTACAATTTGTGCGATATCAATTTGAACAATGTACTTTTCAAAGCAAAATTTGCTGGTCGAAGAGTATTTTGCTCGAAAAAGTACATTTTCATTTATAGTTGTTACTTAGAAGATCTGCTCCATCGGAAAAATCACATAAACTTACCTTATCAATGTGATTTTGGTTGGAACAAACCTAATCCCAACAAACACAGTACGTACTGAAGACGTACATTTTAGGTCCGTTTTACGTCGGTTCGTCCGGGATGTAAGACTACGTTTTGAGTACGTACGTAAAAGGCTGTATTAATATACAGACAAAAAAGTACGTACTAAGAACGTACGTAAGAATCTATAATGCGTACGTCTTGTAAAAGACGTACATGTTCGTTTCAAAGACGTACAATACAAGACGTGCTGGATCATCCCCATCTATTCATGTTTTTTTGATTATTTTCTGATCATAAGATATTTTCAAATTATATGCAATTTCCGAGCAAAAGATACGGGAGTGGTAGCTTTCCAAATTAACCTCTAAACGTAAACCCAAAAATGCCGGTCAGGTTGACATGGATTTCTCTAAACCTTAGATCTAAACTTAATAAATACCTACGAATAAATAGTCATTATAAACGTTTTGTGCAGGTCATATTATATAATCAAGGATTTATATTTCATCTAGGTACCTGACCTAAATAAATGGTCAAATTTCAAGATAAACATGAAATAAACCATTGGAAAGCAAGGGACGTCGGCGGCTTGACATCAGCAGGGTGCAGTGTTGCCAAGGACCCGATAATTATCGAAATCTACCATCATTTTGACTACAATTCAATAATCGATAATCACAAGCTAAATCTACCATAATTGAATGAAACTACAATTTCAATGCATATCTTTAAAATTTTTAGTTGAAAATTAAAAATTTATTTGGTTGGTGGTTTTGACGTGTACTTGTGGTCGCATCAAATACTTCCCAGCTAGAAATGAGTTGAGCTCAAAGCACCGTTAGTTTTTGGTTAATTTTTTTGTTAGAAAAATATAAATAGAGATTAGAGATGAAAGTCAAAAAAATTGACGCAAACTTTTTCTGATTATTTTGAATTTGAAATCTGGCAACACTGGCATCTTCGACCACAGCTTATCGAGGGCTCATCATTTTGATGTGACGCCTCGCTTGAGTTGTTCCTGTCTACATTTGCCTTTTTTTCTTGTGTTTGTTTGTAGAGTGGTGTGAGGACTGTGAGGTTTTGTTTTCTTCTATTTTTGTTTTTTTTTGCCAAATCAAGTGACGCGAGAACCATTTTGTATTGATTGCAGCAACGCCGAAACTGTGGTTTAAGTGTTTAGCTTGGCGGCTTCGCGGCTTGGCTATACCAATTTACTATGTATTTTGTGTGTACCGATAATAATACTTTTAACCAAGATTATTACTGTGTGAAACTTTTTCTGGTTTATGCCCCTTTACAATTCTCTATATTATTATGTTTGTAGAATACCTATCTTCTATTTCTGTATATTTTTTTTAGGTTGGAATTTTTCTTCACTTTTCCTTCATTTTTTTTGTCATATTAGGTAGGTTTTTTTTTGTATGTACTGTTGTTTAATAGGGTTAAGTTTAAGAGTATGTTATATTTGATATTGTGTTAATTTTTTTCAGTTTTTTAGTGTTATTGTTAAGGCATTTATTGAGTATGAAAATTGTAACTTGAAAATACAATACATATTTATATGGTTTTATTTTTCACTATAAAGATACCTACACATAAATACGTACCTCGTACCTCTATGTTTAGGGTTTTCTCCATATATTTTTGCACCCTATCTGGACAGGTTAATTGAATAGGTATCAAAAAGGTGTAAATACAACATTTGTATTTACATATTTTTGATACCTATTCAATCAACCAGTTCTGGTAAGGTGCAAAAAAATATATGGGAAAACCCTGTACGTCCCAAACACATTCCTAAAAAGCTATACTAAATACGTACGTTAATGTACGTCCCCAACACGTACCTAAAAAGCCGTACTGAGTACGTCCCTTAATGTACGTATGTGGTACGTCCCTGAATGTACGTACGTGGGACGTACTATTTTGTGGAAAACGACCGTCTTAAAGACGTCCCTCGTACGTCGGCGGGACCTAAAAAGTACGTCCGGGGACGTACTTTCGTCCGAAAAAGTACGAATTATGGACGTACTAAAGACGTACTTGTGTTTGTTGGGATGTGTGGTAAGTCCCACAATTAATTGTGCGCCAAATTTTCAAACAATGTCATAGATACGCCATTCTGTACAGTATAATGGTGAAACAAAAGAGACTTATCTTTTATGTGGTAAGTAGTTGTTTTTGTCCAGGTGAATTTCAAATGATGCTTGATTTATAGCTTTTTTGTATGTTTATTTGTATTAATTTTTGCTTTGTATCAGTATGTGCTTGATTTGTACTTTGTATTTCTAATTTTGAGCATGATACGAAATGTTGGCTCTAGATTTAAACTTTTAGAGTCCAAAAAAGCTGTAAATCTCACATCAGTTATCTTCTACTAACATTTGAAAATATAATTATTATTGCCAAAAACATAATTTTGTATTTATGAAGGATAAGAAAAATACAAAATAGCCTCTTTTTATACACCCAATATTCTTTTTATACTGTATTTCAGACACAATTTTTTTCAAAATTGTAACTCAAATACACTATAATATCTTCTCCCAAATTATAAATCACATTCAGTCAAATTTATCCTATATTAATAATAATTATTATTAACGTAAATTTAGATTACACAGGAAAGGTTAAGTTTTACTTATTATATATTAGAATTATTAGTAAACATTCATATTCCTATAAGATAATAGATTATTTTAAATTAATAAGAAGCAAATAAGTTTTCATGGTTTTGTCTTCAATAGATGAATAGATAATAATTATTATAAAATAAAACACACTTCTTATTAATTTAAATTTTTGTTTTGTATTATATGTTTCGGCAAGGTTTCGGGCGTTTTTTCAATGTTTTGTCTTTGTTTATTTATTTATTTTACATTTGCACCATTTTGGATATTACACTTAAATTATTAAATTAATGGGACTTACCTTTATCATCAGAAAGGATGAGTGATGATAAAGGTTTTATTGCTTGACACTAAACCTAAAGACATTTATTTTTATTATAGTGCCCGAATCTTTGGTTTTACTAAAGTCTGATTTACATTATTTTAATCTGATGGGCAATCATTTTGTGCGTATCGTTTTTGTTTATTTTTTTTTTAGCCATTTTTTTTTTGTGCTTTAGAATATTTTTACTTATTCGCTAATAAGACTTACTCAGAGAGCGCTTTTCCGTGGGAATTTTTATATTTTTTATCTAGCATGGATTTAACTTTTCTTGTTTCTATCATTATTTTATTAAAGATCTGTTTCTGCAGAAATCAAGCAAATTTCATTGGTTGAAAACAATCACAAAACTAGTTTCAACCAATGAAATTCACTCTGACTGGTTTGTGATTTCTGCAGAAACAGACCTTATGATATTGGAAGCGAATCGTTTTTATGTTTTTCTATTTAATTTAAGTTTGTATTAAGAAATCGGCTTATTTAATGATAACGAATAGCCAAATAATGCGATATAATTGTATAGATAATTTCAAGGTCAATGTATAGATTTAATATATTTTTTGTTTTTGAATAGAAAGGAATATTGAATGGGAATTATTTACTAGAGATTTTAGAGGGGTTTTTCGAACGAAATTCCGCTGAGAATTAGAACGACATACCTCGTCTGAGTTAAGGAATAATTCTTACATCAATATTTTAGATTTATTGTGTGATGAAAGTGAAACTTTGCAAATTTTCACGAGAAAAATTCATACACAACACTGTATTATAAATCTCGACATATTTATATGTTTATCATTGATAAAACGAATGGTTGAACAGAAGGGAACTGCAGAACCACCCAGAAATTTTTCATGCTTGGTACACAGCGGGGTTACTTACTGATAAGTCGGTTTAATTTAGTCATGTTATCGTTTCAAATTCAATTCATAATGATAAAGTAATAAGAACATTGCCAAATCATGAAGGCCTAATCAACAACTGAGGTAAGGATAAAGAACTATCAAGTTGGAAAATCATTCAAACCTATCTTATGTCTTTATAATTTTAGAGGTTAAAAAGAATCAGTGAATGAAAAAGAAGAAAATTAATAAGTTGATAACGGAGAAATATTGCTACCACTCTTGGCAAGGGCTTGTTTTGAACATCTGAATACATATATGATAAAATATTTAATGGGACATTTCTTAAGAAAGCAATAATTCGATATTGGTGTTACTCATCTAAAAAGGGAAATATTCCTTATTGAAAGCCTTATTAGAAGTATGATCAGTTTTGTATCTGCCTCAATCGATTAAATTCACAAGAAATATTAGCCCTGGGTCGCAAAAAATTTTGCGAGGGCAGGCTGATTTTTCTAGGGCTGATTGGGGCCCGTGTCCTGAGTATTGAGCCAAAAAATCACACTCGAAAGCCTTGTGCGTTCGGCCCTATTAGTATTTTTCTTATTTATTTTTTTTCGACAAAATGACCTCAACAAAACTTGTAGATAATTACATTCTGATCAACTTTGCCTCATGACTTTTTTTGCTAGCTATTTTACTTTAGGCACTGCGGCCATTTTAGTGCTTCAGAATTCGCAAAAAAATTAAATAGCAAACCTGCAGATTATTATACATAATAAAATTCTCTATTACTTTGCTTGATGATATTTTATTTTAACTTTATTTCTTTCGCTTGTACGGCTTTTTAGGCATTTGAAAAATTTTATTTGACCTGGTGGACATTGTGGCATGCATAGCGTTTCTAAGGATTTGACACATTTTGCAGGTGAAATTTGGCGTTTCGCGAAATTTAATTTCGCGGACGGTTGCACAATAGCTGTTTGTGTATTAAGAGCGCAAAGTGGTACTTTGCCAATCGAAAATAAGGTGTCAATAAAATATCATCAAGCAAAGTAATAGAAAATGTTATTATGCACAATAATCTGCAGTTTTTGCGAATTCTGAAGCACTAAAATGGCCGCAACGCCTAAACTAAAATAGCTAGCAAAAAAAGGCATGAGGCAAAGTTAATCATAATATAATTATCTACACGTTTTGTTAAGGTCATTTTGTCGAAAAAAAAAAAAATAAGAAAAAGGTCAATAGGGCCGAACGCACAAGGCTTTCGAGTGTGATTTTTTGGCTTAAGACTCAGGACACAGTCTCCAATCAGCCCGGAAAAAAACAGCCTGCCCTCGCAATTTTTTTCGAAAAACTCATAAATTTCTTGGACTATATCTATTCAATCAGTTAAATATTATAGATTTATAATTCAACTTTTTCAAATAGTAAAAATATACCGGGTACCTGCGTCATGTTATTCTGTATTTTTATTTAATTTTTCATTGTAGGTATTATGACAAAAGTCTCGAAAGAAATTTTCAGAAGAGTCAGAAGGACAAGGTTACTAGAGAAATGAAGTATAATTTCTATTCAGAAGAAAAGAGAAGATCAATTCTGAAATGTAGGAAGGTTTGAGATTTGCGACAATATACACTATGTCAATTTGAATGGTCCCTTTTTGTGTTGTGTTTGTACCATCGCCATACCAAAAGTAACTGGGATATCATCATATAAGCTCTTGTACTATTATATGATTTTTTGTGTCAAATATTTGTCAAACTAAGTGCAGATAAATTATTTTTGTCCCAGATACTTTTGGCGGAGGAAAACCAAATTTCCTTCATCATGTGACATACGTTATATTTAGCAGACTTGATTATCATTGAAACTTCTGCTTGAGGTATTTATAGGTACATGTATTGCAGGCTCATTTTTGAAGATTGATCAGAATTTTCGCAGTTTTTGGTACGTTTTCAGTTGATCCCAATAAATTTGTGAATCTCGGCTCAGTGGTTTTATAATTTTCACCCAAATAATCATATTTTTCTTGATTATTTGACAAATCGATTTTTGCAGTTTCTAATTTTGAATCTTTCTGTATGAGCACCAAAAAGTGAAAAGCAATAATCTCCATTATATAAATTAAGTTTTTCCATCATTTTTTTCGAATAATTGAATGTTCTTAATCCTAATGTTCCCAACTTTAGATTAATTTTCAGAAGCTTGGAGAGAAATGTATATAGAAAGTAGAAATTTAGATAGAATCTTAACTAAGTATCTAATTTTAGAATGTTGATTTTGATTGTGTGTCTTTAGAAGTCTAAATTTAGATTAAAAAGATATAATATAAAGCAGTTGCAGATTTTTTCTATTAGAACTTAAAACCGTGCGAATTTTGAGAGTCAATTCGTTTCCCTTCAAATTCAACAAATGCAATAACAAAACCATTAAAAATTACACTTTTACATTGTTGTCAAACTTTTAATAATCCACGAGATACAAAGATAATTTTGATGGAATAGTTTATTAGATCTAAATTTCAAAAATCATATTTTTTTCCCTAAGCAACCCTGATATCTTCAAATTTGAATATTGAACACCCTGTATAAAAATGCAAAGTAGGTCAATGGATTTGTGCCCAAAATTTAGGAATTTTCAAAGTTGATGTGCCATTCAAAAATCGGAAAATATTTGAATTTGAATTGAGTTGTTTTGGGTTTTGGGATTTCCAATAAAAATCTCTTTTGGCTTTTGAGTGGTGAATCCTGAAATTTGAAGTAGGTACTTTTTTCCTTCAAAATAAAAAATATTTGATCTTTAGTATTTGGATTTGACTCATTTTGGGTTTTTGAACATAAGACACTCTTAGCTAGCTTCAGAGTGTCAATAAGTCTTTGATTTTGATGTACCTATGTTTCTTCCAATGATCGAAAAAATTTCCTCTTTTACAAACATAATTTTCTGGTTTTTGGTTTCTAAACCTTTCGGTATCTGATCAATGATTCTCAATGTATTTCCATGAAGTTTCTTTTGAATAATGAACGAGGCAAGTTGAATGAGAAAACCATAAGTGATAAATATCCAATACCAAATATCGCAGATATATTAGATAAACTAGGACGTTGTCAATATTTTACAACTTTGGATTTCGCCAGTGGGTTTCACCAGATTGAAATGGACCCAAAAAGTATTCCTAAAACAGCATTCAATGTAGACCATGGATATTACGAATACACACGTATGCCCTTCGGGTTAAAAAATGCTCCTGCTACATTCCAATGGATAATGTTTTACGAGGATTAATAGGAAAAGTCTGTCTAGTGTATATGAATGATATCATCAATCAGCTTTCAAGAACACATAACTTCTTTAAGACTAGTAATTAATGTCTTTCAATATGAAAAAACAGTTAGACAAATCTGAATTTTTACAGAGAAGTGTCGAATTTCTAGGACACATCATAACTCCAGAAGGTGTCAAACCAAACCCCTCGAAAAATAGAAGTAGTCAAAAATTTTAGAATTCCCAAAACCCCGAAAGAAATAAAATCATTTCTTGGCCTCGTAGGTTATTATAGGAAATTTATAAAAAAATTTGCAAAAATCACAAAACCTTTAACAAATTGTTTAAAGAAAAATGTCAAAGTGATTCAATAATATTTTCAGTGAGCTGAATTTACTGTTTCTGCAAAAATCAACAAAGTTGTTTTTTTGAAAAATCGAAAAACACTTATTTATTCAACGGAATTCTTCCGTTTTGGGTTTTCTTGACCTATTTGTTCCTAAATAGTGATCTTTGAAATAACTTTTTCACTTAAATATTAATAAATATTACTTTTTTGTATACGAAATTCATGTTTTGGTCAAAAATATTTACTTTTTTGTACGAAATTTATTCGTACAAAAAAGTCATTTGTATGATTCAATTATACAAATGAAATCTCTTTTCAGTTTCTGGGTAGTGGATACATTTTCCTTGAAAAATGGAAAAACTTTTACGTTTTTATGTTCGGAATTTACTCGTTTTTGGTATTTTGAAGGATATCGCCATTAGTTTCTGATTCAACTTATTTTCGTTTTACTATAAATACTTGAAAAATATTCAAATTTATTTTTTATTAATAAAATTTACTTGTTTTGGATTTTTCAAACGAATTTTCTTTAAGTTTCCTAGTATAGTTATCAAAGGTTACCTCCTTCAGTTCAAAGTGAATCAATTTGTTTTTTCTCAAAAACTGAAGAATTTTTATTTATTTATGTACGAAATTCATGTTTTGGTCAAAAATATTTACTTTTTTGTATAGAATTTAATCTTTTTTTTTATGCAAATGAAATCTATTTCAGTTTCTGGGTAGTAGCCCAAGAAATTTATACCTGGGCCGCAAAAAATTTTGGGAGGGCAGGCTGATTTTTTCAGGGCTGTTTGGGGACTGTGTCTTGAGTATTGAGCCAAAAAATCACACTCGAAAGCCTTGTGCATTCGACCCTATTGGCCTTTTTCTTATTTATTTTTTTTCGACAAAATGACCTCAACAAAACTTGTAGATAATTACATTCTGATCAACTTTTCCCTATGACTTTTTTTGCTAGCTATTTTACTGTAGGCGCTGCGGCCATTTTAGTGCTTCAGAATTCGCAAAAAAATTAAATAGTGAACCTGCAGATTATTATACATAATAAAATTCTCTATTTCTTTGCTTGATGATATTTTATTGTAACTTTATTTCTTTCGCTTGTACGGCCTTTTAGACATTTGAAAAATTTTATTTGACTTTTGTGGCATGCACAGCGGATATTGTGCCATGCATAGAGTTTGTAATGGGATGTGCACAGTATTTACGTTTTTTACGAAAGTGGTTTTCAATATACCATTTTGCAGTGTTTGGAGATAATAGTAAAAATTCTTCATCAGAATCACTAATTTTTTTAAAAAAAAAGGAGAGGTAAAGCCCAATCCGGCAAGCTAGATGGAGTGGCCAATATCCTTGCTCTGGAGTCTATTAAAAAGAAGGGCCTAGAGAACGCACTCTAAGGACAGATAGGAGACACCACAATATATCTCGCGGCTACTTTTGAATAGTTTTTACCACCGCTATTACCGACGCTCTCATAGCTTTTATCACAGCTTCAACATAAACATGGCCTACGCAGCTATTTATGTATATGAGCTTGCATTGGTCCCATCCAACGGCCAGCAAGATCTGAAAATCCATACTTGGACCACTAGCACCTTTTTAGGGAAAAAACACATTTTGCAGATGCCTGAAAGGCCGTACAAGCGAAAAAAATAAGATGTCGATAAAATATCATCAAGCGAAGTAATAGAGAATGTTATTATGTACAATAATCTGCAAGTTTGCTATTTAATTTTTTTGCGAATTCTAAAGCACTAAAATGGCCGCAACGCCTAAACTAAAATAGCTAGCAAAAAAAGGCATAAGGCAAAGTTGATCAAAATGTAATTATCTACAAGTTTTGTTAAGGTCATTTTGTCGAAAAAAAAATAAATAAGAAAATGGCCAATAGGGCCGAACTCACAAGGCTTTCGAGTGTGATTTTTCGGCTCAATACTCAAGACACAGTCTCCAATCAGCCCTGAAAAAACCCATAAATTTCTTGGGCTATAGTGGATCCTCAAAGTGAATACATTTTTTTCCTTGAAAAATTTAAAAACTTTTACGTTTTTATGTATGCAATTTACTCGTTTTTTGATATTTTAAACGGTATCGCTTTCAGTTTCTGAATTAATTTATTTTTGTTTCACTATAAATACTTATTTTTTTACCTATGAAATTTACTCGTTTTGGGTTTTTCAAACGAATTTTCTTTAAGTTTCTGAGTATAGTTATCAAAGCTCTCCTCCTTCATTATGAAGTGAATGAATTTGCGAATCCTTTTTGACATTTAGGTACTCATTTCTGGTTTTTTTTTTTCAGTCAAAATCTCTTGGAGTTTTGAAGTAGTCAATGCTCAAGCTGATATACCTAGGTAGTTGCCGACCAAAATCTTATTCAATTTCTGAGTAGTGAATTGTCAGTCTACACAAATTGTGTTGAGCTGAATTAAATTATTTGAAAATTTGAAGAGAAATCGAATAAACCTCGAAATTCGCACGGTTTTTTTAAACCGACATTCTAACAATGGTATAAAGACACATTTTGGAAGATACAAAGCCTTAACTTAATTTAATAATAGGAACCTTAATTTAAATGCCTAAAATTTCGTGCTACAGATTAATGAACTTCTACATAATTATTACTTTTTTTTGTTTTGGTCGACATTGGTCAAAATTATTAATACAAGTTTGTTTATTTGAAAATTTACCCTCCCCATTATCCTGATGCGAAAATCATTTAAAGGAAAAAATTGAAAGACCCAATACCTACTTAGGTATAGTTAGTTATCAAATAAACACTCCTATATATGTAATTATACATTGCAATGTAAATCAATTTTTACTTTTTTACAATTAAGATAAAATAAAATATATTACATTATCTATGTGCTAAACTCATTTACATATCGCAAATTTTCAACTAACACTAATCTATTTACGTTTAATGATAATAATTTTTAAAAGACTACGAAGGAATGGTCAAAAAACTATGTGCAATAGAAGCACAGCACTAGTTTATATTTATTCGAGATACATTTTGCCCTATAGTAATTTCTTAATCTAATTTTGATTTTTGATTTTTAAAATGATGGAAAAGCTTTATTTAAATGTTTGCCCTAACATATATTTAGTTAATAGTATATATTACACTGAATGTGTTGTTTCAAAAATCTACATACATATTTAGTATTTATCTTCTCTAATAGTTTTGTGGGTATCAATTTTTTAAATGTTTGCATTGGAAGTGATCTTTACCAATTCAAGGTAATGCCTTTGGGACTCTGTAACGCCCCTGCTACTTTCGAGAAGTTGATGGAAATCGTACTAAGAGGACTTACGTGGAAAGTATGCCTTGTCTACCTGAATAATGACGTTTAGTGATACGTTTTCAATACACATAGGTCCTATGCTAGATAATAATTTAAAAATCCGCACATCATCGAACGGGTCACAGCATCTGGTGAGACAAAACCACGACAAACTGAAGTTGAAAATAAAAAATAGGCGATTACAGCTAGCCCTGAATTTATTACCTGATACTTTTTGACCGAGTTGGATAAGGAAAGGTCCTTTTAGTAAAGATACTCATGAATTTTTATCTTTGAGTCTGAATTAGTGTATCCATTTCTATCAATACATCTCAAACTTATTTTATAGTTCTACTGAAATCTTAGAAGAGATGTTTATAATGAAGTATGTCGAGTAAGGTAATGTTTAATTTCACACGCATTATGCGAAAGTAGCTTTTGTTAATTATTTAATGAAATTTTCCGAGTTATTTTTGCTTTGAGGAGAGTACCCAATACGAAGAGGTAGTTTTACGTATTTGTTTTTGGTACCTAGACTTTCTATGTCGGGATTTTAACAATTTGTTTTTCTAATGAAGAAAGTGCATGATTGTCAAATTGTAATTGTAATAATTTTATTAGTTTTATAATTTTTATATGTTTTCGTTAGGTTTTTGATCTTTTTCTTGGCTTTTTGAATGTTTATAGTTAGTTTAATATTTGGTCTTTTACTTTCTTATGCTTATATGTTCCCTTAATTTTGTATCTTCGAACAATTATTATGTATTGCATTTTTGGTTTTATCAAGTTCTTATGTTCGTTTTGGTTATGGTTTTTTTTTTGTACCATGTTTTTGTATTTAATTTTTTGTTGTTTGTTCTCTATTCTAATGATATGTTTTTCGATTTGAACCCTCAACAAAGACGTTTCCATATCCAACCGGATTATAATTAACTTAAAAAAGTTTTTATTCCTGAGTATTTTAGGAATACCAAACAACTACGTAAGTATATATTTTATTTTTAATTATTAAATACCGCGTGCGTCTCAGTAAGTAGGGTACTTAGCGTGTAAGATTTAAAAGCTAAAGACTATTAATACATCCACGAATAAAGCCGTATCTTTTTGGTAACTAAATAAGTCAGTTTTAGCGAAAATCACAAACTAGGTTTCCGAGTTGTCATCCTTTTGTTTGTGATTCATGCTGCACCAAATAACTATTAAAAACACTAACTATTTCTAAACTATTTATTGTTAGATTTCACTCTAAATTATGAATTTTAAGATTCAGATTTTTTTGGTAGTTTAATATTTAACATTGACAACTGCTAACTGGGTTTCAATCGATGGGTGTGTATTTTGTCTATGAATTCAGAATCGAGAGTTTTGTGGGTAAAGAGTAAGAGTAACCCTAACGTAGGTTATGTACTGTTAGCCTTACTCTTTTTTGTAGAGCATAAAGTTCTCATTAATTTGGTACGTAAGGTAGGTTGTATGCACCCCTGTTGTGTAATTCTTGATGCTCCACTTTTCAAGTTTAAATTTGATATGGTATCCTCGTAATTTCAATGTTTAAGTTTAAGTAAACGAGTGTCAATTTTGGAGCCTACTTAGTGTTAGCCTTACTGTTAACGTTTTAACAAGTGGGTTGACAAGGCACTCGACTAACAGCCAAACTATTGATTTCATGAAATAATAGTAATACTACTTTTTTGTAGAGCATGAAAGTACCTTTAATTTGGTATATAAAGTAGGTTGTATGCACCCCTATTGTGCAGTTCTTGAGGCCCCACCTTTCAAGTTTAAATTTGATATGGTATCTTGTAATTTCCATATTTAAATTTAAGTTTAAGTTTAAGTAAACGAGTGTCGCCTCTCTGAGGAGGCGTCACTCTATGACATCAATAACGAATCAGACCAAGTTCTTCCAGGATACCATTCGACCATTTTCAAAAAAATACAAGAAAATTCGATGCTAAGCATGACCTCAGACAGAATACCTGTCTCCTATGAGTTCTCAAAACCCCTTGAAGGGGGTGTGCGCCAAAAAAAAACAACTTTATCTCAAAAAAAAGAGAAAAAAAATCTTAGAACAACAGTGAAAACCGCACCCCTCTATGACAAATAATACCGAAGATATGTCTCTATGAAGGTACCGTATCCCACCCTATGACGTCACGAGCGCTCAAGCGACGCACGAAATAGTGAAGTGCATCGAATTCATATATGTTTTTCCTGTGTTACTTGCAATAATCTGAACAAAAACGACTGACCCGTGTCGGGAATAAACAAATGAACAATGCGGAGCGTGGCTGGACGAAGCTCTCGTGACGTCACACATACTTTAAAGCTGTATATCTCAGCGATGGTTTATCGTAGAATAACGAGGTTTGAACAGTTATTCTTAGATTTTTTTACACTAGAACTTTAATTTTTGGCGCACACCCCCTTGGTAGGTACATATACCTGATAGGGGCAAAGCCTGTGGAAATGGGAAGATACGCAAACCTCCATGAATCTGTCTGGTATACAGACGGATCAAAAACGCACATCAGCACAGGCGTGGGAATCTATAGCGAGAACATAGGGAAGACGTACAGTCTAAACCTGGGCTCAATGGATATAGGTACCATCATGCAGGCTGAAATGGTTGCGATAACAGCATGCGCGGAAATCATCTTGAGAGAGAAAGTTCCTAATCTGCTAAGCACCACGTCCAAAACAGTGGAACACTGCCGAAAAATTGTGGCTGAACTGGCAAAACACTACAAGATGATCCTTGAATGGATGCCAGGACACGCATGTATTGAAGGGAATGAAAAAAACTGATCTTCTCGCAAGAAAAGGATCAGAGATAACCCCAAGTGAACCCCTGCCAACATGTGGTACATCATATCAGCATGTAAGAGGTAAACTGGGGGAACAGTTGAGAAAACTCTGGATGGAAGGACCATCTAAGAACAGAAGAACTATCTAGCTTAAGCAGGAGACAATTGAGAGATGTGGTTGGATTGTTGACAGGACACTGCCCTCTCAGAAAACACCTAAACACAATGAAGCTAGCAAAAGACTCACTGTGCGAAAGGTATGTAGAGGAAGATGAAACATCTCTACATGTACTATGCCAATGTCCTAACTTTAGATGGCAAAGACAGCGGCACTTTGAGACACAAGATCCGATACTTACCAAAGGAAATCGCGAAAGCGAATATCAGAGATCCTAGGTTTTACTAAGGGAGTGGACCTGATATAAAAACTTCAGGGGGGCACAATAAGTCACGTTGTGTCGAATGGAATCTTTCAATTGGACTATTCGAGTTTGGATTTCTTGGCGTTGTGTGATGAAACTCAATTTTGTATAATATACAAAGATCTGTCATTATAGCATTTTTGAACTCTGCTCCATTATCTGAGGTGATTTTTTGAGGCATTCCATGATCACTTAAATATTCCAACAACTGTGATGTTATCTCTACAGCTGTTTCTGTACTTACAGAAGAGGCTTGATCAAATCTTGACAAGCTATCAATAATGGTCAGAAATTACTGGTTATTGATTATGTATATGTCAATATAAATACATACCAATTGGTGTTGGTTTAAATATAATATGATTTTGTATGGTTGTCGTTCATACTTAGTTTAATTGTATATCACACCCCAGGCGAGGATAGAATAGAAACGAGTATCAATTTCGGAGCCTTATTAGTGGCTGACTGCCGGATCAGATAGAATCTAGCAATTTTGAAAAACCAAAAAACGAATCATCTATTTTTGATAGAATTGTAAGTACCTAAGAGTTTATTCACACCTCTACCAGACAGTAATAGAATACTTTTTCAAGAAGTAATAAGTATAGTTGAAGAAGAAATTGAAAAACCTATCTTTCAGGGGTAATTTTGGTAGGTATGTATTTTTTTTGGAAATGTATGTAGGTAAATTATTTTTTTTATATGATAGGTCATGGATTGTCAGCACTGTTAATGTTGAATTATAAACTATTTTTTTTCTTTTTTATTGGTAGCTTTTCCTCAAAAACCACAACATATATTAGGTGGGTACTTAGAAAGTAAATCCTATGTTTAAATAATTATTTATATTCCACATTTATAAGAGAATATGAAAATTGTCAATGTTGGAAGACTTCAATAAATTAAGTTTTATTATATTCAATATCAATTAACATAATGACTGAAATTTGTTTTGTTGTTATTGATGTATTTTATTCCTAAGAGTCTATATCTTTTAGGACAATTTTCCTACTCACTACTTAACCTTTCCTGTACTAGAAAATGTAGGTACCTATAAACTAACAGTAACTCAGTATTTTTGTTTTTCATTCGTTACTTTTTGTGCGTTTTTTGTTCACTCAAGATGTCTTTTTTTTTAATAATAGAGGACCGCTTCTTTGCAGAATCAATTATGTCCGTCAAGGTTTTTTTTTTTGTAGATTTTTGGCCAATTTTGGATTAAGATTCCGATTTTTTAACACGTTGAAGGATAGTGAACATTTCTGTAAGATACCAATTTATGCAGAAGCTGACTGTTTCTATAAAATGGAGGGGACTGGAAATATAATTTTAAATGTGTGACACTACGGCACTAATATTTGAACGTATTGTGACACTGGCGATTGGATTCACATTAAATTAGATACAAACGCTGAACGGCGTCGTGTCATTTTCAACCATCAATCTGAAGATGCATATCAGCGTTGTGTCACATCATAATTTCAGGAAATGATGCTGATTTGCGTCTCTGTCCTTCAACGTGTTAAACTCTTTTAATTTGCCACATATTTTACCCCTAATCAATTATCTTAGAAGCATTTTCATTGGCCATGAAAGCCTTTTACTCACCTTGTCTTTGTTTGTATATGTATTTCTCTATTTACAAATTTATTTTTTGCCTCATATTTTATGCAACAAAATTAATCAAAACACAAAAAATCAAAACAAAATAAAATTTAAAAAAATCATATTTTTTTATTAAAGATTATACGTAATTAATGATAATATGAAATAAATATAACACAAACTAAAAGATAATAAAAATTTACAAGAAACTAATAAAAGTAATAAAGCTTTAATAATAAAAAAAAAAATATATACTAAGTTGCAAAATTGACAATATTAAATAAGTAGGTTATAATGTTTCAGTCTCCAAATTGGCAAAATGATGAAAATAATTGTTTTTTTGTCATACATATCCTTGAAAATTCCCTACTTTTGCATCATACTAAACATATATTTTTACACATTCTAAAAACTACAGGATATGGAAGGCAAAAACTACTGTATGAAAGTATAAAACATTGGTATATGCAACTAAATTTATAAAAATAATATTTGTCTTATCGGAAAAGGCTATGGAGAATTTCGATTTGTCTGGTTTTTGTTTTCGAAATATTAGAAAATCTGATTAATATATTTATGTCACCAAATTACTGCTATTGACAAACTGAAATATGTAGCCTGATCTCATATTAGTTTTTGTCTTATAGTGATTTTCTAGAGTTTACTTTGGAATTCCAAAAAGTACCGGTTCCAGTAGGAAAATTCGGTTTGAGCCAGTGTGGCAAAGTTGTTAAATGAAAGCAAAGATTTTTCTGTTTTACATAGTCAAAATTTCGAAAATTGAGTATTGGTATACCTAGAACTATTTTTTTTGTTTGGGTTCTAACTTATAGATTTTTTATGCACTCTAAATTTTTGTATGTTCCTTTTATTTCCGAAAAATGAGGTTTATCCTAAATTAGGTTTTTGTGTCCCCATTTATGAGAAAATGTAATTGATTTTATACTTGTCAAATTGTCCAATGAATGTCTGTGAAAACCTATACTCCAAGTATTCTTTTCATTTTCAGATTATTTTGGAATTTTTCTAATTTCATGTGTCTGGAGCTTGGCAAACTTTTGTGATGAATTTGATGAAGGTCTCAGAGACTGAAACAAAGAAACTGTAGTCCTGAATACTTCAAATTAATCAAAACTTTGTAATTTTTTTATAGTTTTCTTTGGTTGAACTCGGTAAATGTTTCATGTCCGCCTAAACCCAATCACGTATCAGAAAAACTTCAATTTAGAATTTATCTGGTTTGTTCCCAAAGCCCAAACTTATAACATACCTACTAAACAATTCAGTTGTTGAAATATTATTTTAGATACATTGTTGCTTACCATAGAAAACCGCTAAAAATCCAGACAAATCATTTGGTAGGTACCTAGTTTTTTTTTTAAATAATTGTCAATCATCCCAAAGATGTTCCAAAGCCTTTTCGATGATACATTTTTTATTTATAAAGGATTTGCGGCTTGTACAAGACAAACTTTCAGATCTTTGGCCAAATGCGAAATATCGACAATAGAATCTACCATTTCCTGAACGGCGCTAACCAAAGGAAATTGTAGAGCGGCTTGTTTTGTCTTGTTTACACTCGTGGCCAAAGCATCCGATAGGGCATTGGCACAACTCAAGGCTCTTTCTTTAATTTCTTTACAAGAAATGTTTCTGTGAACGGTATCGCCAATATGCACCAATTTGTGAGCGCTTAAAACCACAAATTTACCGTGGGCCAAAAATATTCTCGGTGGTTGATTGTGTTCGACTGTTTGCAAAAAAGCATCGATAGCTTGTGTGAGATTTAGATGGTGAGTTACTACTTGAGCGGCAAAGAATGTTAATAATTGCTTGTCATCGTGTGGTAAAGCATTATCGAAGGCGACATCATCAGCATGCTTAACACAATTATCGTAATTTGATTTCAGTTCTTTTGTTGGTAAATCGTTCCTGATTTGAGCGTGTTGCTTCGAAATGTTTTCTTTTGAATCTAAGCTTACATAGTCATATTCTTCACTAGTCCATTCTATTTCTTTTTTAAATAATAATGTACTATTACCTTGGATGAATGAAGCTATTTGTCTGACGTCTTCTGTTAAAGCTCTAGCACAAGCTACCAGCTGCTCCAATTCATCCAGTTTACAAGATTTTTCTTCACTTACAAGAAAATTTAAAGCCCAATGATGTTTGTCAATAATTTCAGATGCAGCTTGAACTAATTTGTCAGATTTTCTTAAAGCTTGAACTAACGGGGCTAATTTTACAACTAAATTTTTATCAGAAGCCTTAGCTGCGTTTCCCAAAGATCCTTCTCCGAATTCCGCAAGATCGTGAAGGCTTGTCCTTAGTCTAGTAACAGCCAGTTTTATTTCCATTCTAGTATTTTCCAGTTTTTCTCGGGTTCGCCAACTAGGACCAACAAAGCCTAGTAATTTTGAAATTGCACTCAAAGTATCAGTCTCTAATCTCTCTAAATTTTCCAGGGCAGAATTCAACTCTAAAGGCAATTCTTTCAATTGCTGCTGAGAGACTGGGATGTCGTAAGTTTGATGGTGAGAAGGAGGAACTAAAACCAATTGAGGTCCGGCGCGATTTAACGGTCTAGGAACATCGTAATCAGGCATGTTGGCTAAACTGCTTCTATTTGACGAACTCAACGAATCGGCCGTCAGGGAACTGGCCGAACTCGACGGCGTTAATTGGGGGTTAGTATGCAAGGACCTAGGGATGTCGTAAGCTTCGCCCGATTCTCGACTTATCGGGGAAACGCACGACGGTGCCGGCGAACATCGGGGGCAATTTCGAAAGTTTTCGTTACCCACTGGGACGGCTCTTGGTGGGACGTCGTAGCAATCGCTGCTGGTGATGATTTGATGATGGTCACGGGGACTGAGGCCGGATACTGGTATAGGGGAACATCTTGATGGTGGCATGTCATAAAGGTACACGTCGTTGAACTTTTTTGGAGTAATCACCTAAAAAGAAATTTCTTTTAAAAAAAAGTATAATGATTTAAATTTAAAAGATGTTCTACGTTATCAAAACTATCTATCTACAACTTGGAGTTTGAAAAACTCAATAATATCATGAATAGTATAGAATAGACTCATCAAGATTTACATAATATTTATAAAAACGCAATAACAATATGAGAAGTGGGATACTGCTCATAAGATGTAGTTATTGGACACAGTATGGTATGAACATCAACGTTTACAATGTATATAATTATTCATAAAAAGGTAACCAAAGCTGCAAAAGAACTTTACTATAGCAAACGAATTTCCAATTCTAATAACACTCTGACTCAAAATGAGGCATAGTACATAAATTAATAAAATAAGAGGTCAACGTTCTCGCTCCCAGGTCTCTTCATCCAACCTGTCTCTTAACAATCTAAATATTTTCTTTTGCTCTATAGCTGGAGCTCTTTCGTCCCAGCTCGACTCCGGGGTCAATACCATAAGACTATTTGACAGACAAGAATGTCTCTAATTCCTCCTTCTTGGCACCAGTCGATGTTCCTGATGAGATCAAAGTGACACTAACATCGTACCAGCGTTCTTGCAGATTAAGCGCTCCTTCAAGACACCCCAAGCACATCGCATCTACTCCAGAACTGAAAAAGCATTTCTCCGAGAGCGAATCCACAAAACAAGGAACGATCTGGCGAGAACTACTTCACCTACATCTGGTGCTCAGCAACAAAATACAGGCAAAGCATTGGAACAAAATTGATACCATGTCATACTCAAGTATGGATAATGAGTTAAACCGGAATAAAAAAGCTCAGATTCGAAAATACGAGATGTTCTGTAAGAAACAAATCCAAAATTCTCCAGCACCTGACAAATCCATACTGGTCATCAATCTCACGGATCGAGTCCTTACTGAAGAGGAAACAGCCGTCTTGGCAAAAGGCGGTAATTTCGCAATTAGTCCACAACACCTGCCAATGTAGGAGCTTATAGCCAGCACTGAAGCAGCCATCAGAGCACTACCTGATGTGGAAGCGGAAGAAATCCGTATTGAGACGGCCAACATTCTGCGAAAAGCTCGACCACCAACCAGTAACCTCTCTAAGAAGGAACTAATGACAAATAGGAACCTGAATTCAGCGGAAGATATGATCATCCTACCTGCGAATAAGGGCAAGGCAACTGTCCTGTTAAGAACTGAAGACTACAACCGGAAAATTCAGGAACTCCTTGATCCATCTACCTACCGAAAGCTAGAGAAGGAACCCACACCAGCCACACTCCGGAATACCAACAAACTGATTAGGTCATCTACCCTAACAGACACGGTTTAGAAAGGCATCATAAAAACAGAAGCAGTTCCACCACGACTCTACGGCCTACCCAAAATTCACAAACCGGAAGTCCCGCTAAGACCAATAGTGAGTGCACCTGGAGCAACAACGTACAACCTAGCGAAACATCTTGCATCGCTTCCTCAACCGCATGTAGGAAAAACTAGCTCTTACGTCAAGGACTCCACTCACTTTGTCCGGAAAATTAGGGATATTATTCTTCAACCTAACGATATCCTGGTCAGCTTTGATGTCTTGTCCCTATTCACAAAAGTGCCATTGACAGAATCTCTTGACTTGATATCAAGTATCTTCCCCAATGATATAGTTGAGCTTTTTCGGATATGTCTCACAGGTAGTTACTTCCTATGGAACAACGATTTCTACGGTCATAGCCAACTTCTTCATGGAGGAATTCGAAAGGAAAGCTATAGAATCCTTTGACCACAAACCAACAGTATGGCTTTGATACGTAGATGATACTTTTGTGGTTTGGAGTCATGGAGAAGAGAAGCTTATCCAGTTCTTAGGCCACCTGTGAACGAGCAATATCCTAGCATAGAATTTACCATGGAAAAGGAGTAAAACCAGGAAATCGTCTTCCTAGATGTGCTCATAAAGAAATCTGGAGGAAAATTAAGCCACACGGTGTACCGAAAACCTAGACACACAGATAGGTACCTGCATGCACTCTCAAACCACCATCCAAGGCAAAAACGTGGAATTATAACAACGTTAACAGAACGTGCTCGGAACATCTGCGAGCCACAATATCTCGAGCAAGAACTGGATCATCTCGAGTAGGCCTTTTTATCAAATGGTTACAATGCATCTGAAATCGACAGGGCCATGCGACCCAAAACTGCCACATGACAAAACGTGGATGAACAACCAGTGGTGGCTAATACATATCTGCCATTCAGTTCTCGGGTGACAGACAGGATAGGGAGAGTCTTGAAGAAACACAATATGAAAACAATCTTCAAGCCAACAAGGAAAATACAGCAATCAATCAGATCAGCCAAGGATAAGAGGAACCCACTGTCAAGCGCTGGAGTCTATCGTATACTGCAACTGCAGACTAGGACAATCGGAAAAATTGGCAGTTTCGGAAGATGCGCTTAGTGAAGGGAATCATGAAATACTCTTTGGTGGGGTCAAGGTTCTTGCACCGACTTCCGGATACCACAATCGTTTTGTACGTGAAGCTATAGAAATCCACAAACATATGGAGAACTTCAACAGAAAAGAAGAAACACTATAACATAACCAAATCTGGAACCCGCAAGAAAGATCCCATTGAGTACAGAGAAAGTTGAGATTAGTCAAGTGCCGCAAAGCCCCGCCCCTCCCCCACCACAGCCACTCACACATAAATAAAACTTACGGTCGGGAACGCGTTAGTCTGCTACCAGAATCGGACATGGAAACACCTTTGAAGATGCTAGCCACGCGTGCTAGCGAAACGTCAGGAAAAAATTCCAACTTACGACGGCCATTAAGCCCGAATGAAAACTCCTTATCAATAAACCTGGAACGCGAAAGCCTCACAAACTTTATCAAACCCTTGAGAACCTCCAAAAACAGAAATTCCTCGGGCTATGATAACATATCCATTAAACTATTACATCATCTTAACGATAGGTAGTTTTTGTGCCCTTGGCTTGGAGATGCAATAAATGATTCCTTTGACAAGGGTATATTTCCTAATATCCTCAAGCATGCACTGTATAGTCAGAGAGATATCCAGAAGAATACAGCTTGGATGGACCGCATATGGAAAACTTAGTCATATCCTTTATTCCAAATTTCCACAATATCTTAAAACACAAGTGTTCAACCAATGGGTGGTATTAATAAACCTGAGTCTGAGCACGGAGTAAATGCTCAGAGTATGAGGGCAGAGTCTGAGCTTTTACTGTTCCTTACTATATACAGGGTGGGGACTTTAACTGGAACTAATTCGCTAGAGCCTTCGAATAAAATATGTGGACAAAACGCAAAAATACGTCGATCAAGATTTTTTGCTTGAGTTTTTTTCACATTAATTTTTTTATACAGGGTGGTCCAAGAACAGCTGTACGGTTGTCAACTTTATTTTTCCAAATGGTAGCCCCTGTTTATTATGACATTTCTGGATTCTGCAGAAAATTCTAGACATATTTCATTCACAATCTCATATACCTATCTTCAACTGTTTCGGAAATATTGACAGTTGAAAATGGACTTTTTTGCAACTTTGACAGGCTGTAAAACCTTAACGGTTAATTTTAGAGGAAAACCGATTTCACATTCCTATCTTAGATTTTCATAAGCTATCATTTGACACCAACTTTGAATTTAATCCATGATTAAAAATTCCAGTTAAATTCAATATCCAGTTAAATTCAAAGTTAGTGTCAAATGATAGTTTATGAAAATCTAAGACAGGAATATAAAACTGGTTTTCCTCTAAAATTAACCGTTTAGGTTTTACAGCCTGTCAAAGTTGCAAAAAAGTTAATTTTCAACTGTCAATATTTCCGAAACAGTTGAAGATAGGTATATAACATTGTACATGAAATATGTCTAGAATTTTCAGCAGAATCTAGAAATGTCATAATATACAGGGGCTACCATTTGGAAAAATAAAGTTGATAACCGTACAGCTGTTCTTGGAACACCCTGTATAAAAAAATCGATATGGAAAGATTTCAAAAAAAAAATCTTGATCGACGTGTTTTTGCGTTTTGTCCGTTGGATTTGAAAATTGGTCCAAATACGGGCATCGTGAACGGAGCCCGGCCAAGAGACATCTAAGCTTGTGAACATTTCTGAGCTATTGCAAGTGGCGAGAACATTGAGGTTGATATATTCGTCTCCATGGACAGCAGACTTTAAAATGGGGATATGAGTGCAATCTATTGCTCCTTTTGTACAAGGGAAATTGTATGACTTTTGCCATGCAGCCTTTTCTCTCTCAAATTCTTCGTCAGTAGAAGGGAAATTGATCCACTAATCAGCTTTTTGTATTATTCTTGGAATAACGTCTGCTAAGACATTTGAGACAGGAGATAGTTAGTTGGCGAACTCCTATATCTGAAGCAATGCCAGTCTGAAAACCAGTATCCGCTATATACCTTAGAAAAAATTTAAAACATTGCAGTGGCGTTGCAGCTGAATGACCCAGGAAGTCTTCACACATTCATTTAACAATTTCCTTCTCAAATCGATATAACACTTTCCAGTCTCAGTCCACGTTTCTACGAACTAAATATACTTTAGGATTGCGTAAATGATTTATGAATTCGGCCATTGTGTCACTCTCTTCCTAAGTTGAGTTTGCTACTGACTAGACTCAAGTGAAATGGACCAGATGCTCCAAACTTGAATCAATTACTTTTTTTTATTAATATCTATAGAGCAAATGCTCACAAACTAGAGTCAACCGAGTTTGAGCAAAAGTTTAACTTTATTTATTAATACCAGTTGCAGCATATACTTCGAATACTTTGAGTCTGCGCTTATACTTCGTCTTATTAATACCACTGAATGTGTCCTACCAACCTTAACGCACGCTGCAGAAACATGGAGAATTAATGAGGGTACCGTGGAATGTTTAAGGATTTGCTCAAAGAAAAATAAAGAGAAAAATGCTAGGAATTCGACTACAAGACCGAAAGA